TCGATATTACATTATAATGACACATAGCAGATAATACTACTAAATTTGCTGCGACTTTGTTGTTAGGATATTTTTCTGCAAATCCCTCTTCTACAATATTATGAAAGTTGTATGACGAAGAGAATTTTAAACACTGCATGATTTTCGAGTCATTCATTAATAAGATGTTCTATTTAAATAGTAAAGTAGATTAATTATAAGATAAAATGTAGATCAAATTCGTAATAAGAAAACATCTTTTACGAGGATAAGTAGGACAATTTTTAGTTTAATCTAGAGTAAATTTTAAACATTTTACGCTTTCGTTTTGCTCTGGATTAAATTAATTCACGAAAAAGGTTTGTGCATTTCTCGCGCAGATTGTCGCGTAATGTTCAGAGCAGTCTTCAATTCTCCAAAGCTTGAGACAAAATCTTCTTTGCGCTAATCCAACATAATATGAAAAAGTGTAGTGTAACACGGCCCGCAAACGGGACTTCAGTGAAAAGGTAGGTCTTCACGAATAAGAATACTAAAATTCGTGTAAATTGGTCCATGGAAGAAACGAAATCTATCAACGAAAACCTAGATAAACTCCAACGGTTGAGTTTTTCCCGCCAACGCTCAAGAACAGAGAACTGCGTTTCTTACGTATTCTGTGTACCTATTAGCATGAAATGGTAAAAATTTACTATTACATGCATTATGTATTTTTAGTCCGAATTATTTATTAGCAACACTTTAAAAATTTCAGAAAGTTTGTATAAAATTCAAAGGAGATAAATTGAAATGTTTGTGCTGCAGGAAACGCAACTAAGAATAGAGGTTAGATTTTCTCGTAAGTACTTTTTCTAATTTCCAAGTGTTCCGCTGAAAATGTATTCCTATTGCATGCGAATTCAGTCTGTTACTTATCCTTTCGTAATGGTTCTTTTAGCTCCCTGCTTTCCCCTCTAGGAAACAAATAAATAAGTTGAAGCTATCTGACCTCATCACAAGTCTACTGGGAGGTTAATATGCACTCCATCCAATCTCGTCGACTCAGTTTCCAACGGAGTGAATCCCTCGTCGAGTTCCTTTTATCTTCAGACGTGTCTAATTCACCTCCACAATCTCTCACGTCACTTTTCCATTTCTATTTCATTGTATACTTTCATCCTTTCTGCACGAACATTTTGTACACCATTGTTCACTTACTTTTTCCCTCTTTACGAGGAGACGACATTCGCGACCGGGAATCTACGGACACTTAATCGTTGTGTCTTCAATTAATTAAATTCCTACGTATATACATAGCTCGGATGGCTGAGAGAGTAATTATTGTGCATCGAAGTAGCACTTTACTCTTGCGACCGGGAATCTACGGACACTTAATCGTTGTGTCTTCAATTAATTAAATTCCTACGTATATAGCTCGGATGGCTGAGAGAGTAATTATTGTGCATCGAAGTAGCACTTTACTCTCTTACCTGCCGAGCTGTATTGTTAAAATGTACATACTTACATATGTCTAGTAATTCGATTGCAATGGCTAATAAAATTTCGTTTTAATTTATATCGTCAAATTTTACTACGACAGTCTTTTAAATACATCCCCTGCACTTAAATATCTCCTTTTAATCAATCCTAATTTTTAATAACAGTTATAAACAATTTCTGACTAATCCATTAAATATAATAGTTAATTCAATGCAAAATTAATATATTAAGCTGATTTATTAAGTTAAAGTATGCAATAATTTTATATAAGACTTCCAATAATGATAAATAACCATCTAAATTGTTATTTAACAAGAAACACTAATTATTTTATAATTAAAGTACTTGAAAATAAACTAGAAACTGTATTTTACTATCTACACTATTAGTAATGTTAAAGCAATTAAACTTTGATTATAAATATCAATTAAATATAATAATACGGATGACGAGAATAGTAATAGCCAAGAGAGACAAGGAAACGAATAGCGCTGGACACGGACTGCGCCAGAGAAATGAGTTAGACAAGGAGAGGAACAGTGTTAGACAAGGATAGAGAATTTTTTTTTATCAAAGCTAACGCCATCTCGTGTTTGGATTTGCGAACTAACGACTCGTTAATAGAATAACAGCATGTGAACAGAGGTATTAGACAAGGAAAGCACTAGTGTGCGACAAGGACAGAGAGAGAACGTTTCCTATTGGCTGACGGGCCGCTGAGCTCGGCCATTCAGGTCCTAAATTATATCGGTCAGTGATAAATCATTAATAACTCATTATTTACGATAATTTTGTGAACTTTTAGAATTGAAGAATGTAGTATGAACCTCTAGCAACTTTCTCATATAGGTTTTAAGGTCTTAGGTCCTTTCAATAATTAGTTATTAATAATTATTGTGCGAATTGTCGGGAACGATACGACGGTCCCTTACGGTTTTTCATTAATATCATTGTTCAGCATCAATTTTCTGTACAATATTCATATGCGTCTGAAAGGCAACATATTTAGCTACATTCTTTTATAATTTTTATTAACATATCTCCTGTGGTTTGATAGTTATTTAACATTCTTTAGGTGCGTGTTACGCTTGTCGCATTCAAGCATAAAACATTTTCGTTATTTCAATAGGAATGCGTAACTAATTATGCACTTTTAAGCATGTAGAATGTAGAATGGACATTTATCTACATTCTTCAATTAATTTGGCAGTCGTAAATAGTGTGGTTCACTAGATATTAGCAATCGTTTATAACAGTTGACTATGCTCGAGTACGATGGATAGGAGACTGTCCCCTATAATGTTTAATAACTTCTAAATTAAACCGAAAATGTTAATGAAACTTATAGAAGAATTTAGCTAAAGGTGTTGCCTTTCAGGTGCGTATAGTTATTTGCACGAGAATTTAGTAGAAAGCTACGAAATGATTGAAAAACCGCAAAGATACTTGACGGTATGCAGTATCGTTCCCGACATCATGTACTAAAGTTGTTGATAACTAATTATTGAAACGGGTTAGAGTACTAAAAACTATATGTGAAAGTTGCTGGAGGTCCACGCTTCATTCTTCAATTCTAAAAGTCCACAGAATCATCGTAGTTAATGAGTTATTAATGATTCTTCCCTGGCCGATTTAATTTAGGGCCTGAATGGCCGAGCTCAGCGGCCCGTCAGCCAATAGGAAGCATTCTCTCTCTGTCCTTCTCGCACACTAGTGCTTTCCTTGTCTAATACCTCTGTTCACATTCTGTTATCCTATTAACGAGTCGTTAGTTCGCGAATCCAAACACGAGATGGCGATACTCTCGCCCGCCATTTTTTTTTCTGTCCTTGTCTATCCCTATACCTTTCCTTGTCTAACTCGTTTCTTTAATGCTGTTCTTGTCTCTTTCTACAGTTATCCTTGTCTTACTCATTGCCGAAATGCGGACAGGATCAAATGTGCAATAACAGCATTAATTTTAACGTAGCTTAGAAACGAACCATGCATTTTCTTTTTGTATGTGCAGTTTTAACGTAAGAAGTACTGTTAATTTGCTTCTCCAATTACAATAAACGTGACCAAATAGAAAGTTGTAACTCTTGCGGTACCAGTTAAATTAAGGTTACAGATAACAGATCGAGTTAGTC